ACAGACAGTAATCAGACTAAGCCTTAAGTCTCTGGGCAACAGGAAGAAAACAGTTGTTGGCTATGCTACATTCACACTCTTATTCATAAGACTTGTGAAAAAGCCGCTGGGAATGAACTTGTTCCAAATCCTGACATGGCTGCCAAAGGTGATGTCCAGGTAAGCAGAAAAAGTGTCTAATTTAAAACCTCTTGGCAAGAACATGTTTGGGGTTTAGAGTGCTGTGATAGATGGACAGACAGTACATAGCCCTTGTAATCCTTTAGAACATGGGTTTGCAGCCTAGACATTAGATTAATCCAGAGATGTGATGTCAGATAGTCAGGGAACTATCTAAAAGACAAAAGAAACAAATTCTTATTCCAAGTTTGTTGGGAAATTAAAAAAACTCTCTGATTATTGATATTTCATAAGCATTTCAAAGGTTAAGTAATTTTACTACATTTATTCATTTGAAGACCAGTCTAGGTAAGCCATCAGAAGGAATGACTTAGTCACTTCTCCAGAGACATACTGTAAACACATAAAGTAACAGGACACAGTTGGACATTTTTTTTTCTTTCTGGCTTACTTCCGGTGTGTTTATCCAATGTGATCTTTTATACACAGAACATAATGTGAACCTGGAGCACTGGATAATCTTACAGCAGAAGAACCAAGTGTTTAATATGGGAAAGTTTCCTCTAATATATGACCACTCTAGCTGTGCACAGAAAAGCATCTAAACAGGAGTTGTGGAGAAGCAGCTGACACTGAATTTACAAAAGCATTTAGTGCATTAAGATTCATCTTCACAAATAGTAGGGAAAATCAATTTCCAATGATATCTTAGCTCCGCTGCTTTAGGACCACCAAACAACATAATCCAGTAAACATTTTGACTAGAACAGGTTATACATCAGGCTTTTAAGAACTTCTTATATGTTCTCCAGATTGTTAAACTGCATTCTGCTTAACATTCCTGCAATCAGGGTCTTTTACCAGTCTTAGGGTTCTGTATTAAAACTGAACAACTTACTGTGAACCAAAATAAGGAAAGGAAAATATAAAAAATGTAATGTTACAAAGATGGAACATTAATGTACTCTCTTATCATAATACAAGCACAAGATTAAGATTAAATGCCATACATTTCCACAGGTCAGAGAGGACAAAATGCACAAAATATCAGGAAATGCTCTTTCTTGTCAGAGTAAAATGTTAACTGCAAAAACTACGAGAAGCCCAACAGCTGATCAAGAAAGCGCAACAATGCCTGTACTTCCTAAGGCAGTTGAAGAAGGCTAAGATACGTCCCCAGATCCTCACTAACTTTTACAGATGCACTACAGAAAGCACACTGACAGGTTGCATCACAGTGTGGTATGGCAACTGCAGTATTGCTGACCGCAAAGCCCTACAGCGGGTGGTGAAAACTGCCCAGTCCATCACTGGGGTTGCCCTCCCAGCCACACAGGACATTTATGACAGACGGTACTTGAGGAAAGCTCTAAGCATCATCAAAGACCCCACACACCCCAGCTTCAGACTGTTTGACCCTCTGGAAAACGGTACCGGAGCATTCGGGCCCGGACTACCAGACTCAGAGACAGTTTTTACCCCCGCACTATCAAACTATTAAACTCCCAGCCTCTCTCAAATACGATCTGAACCTCACAGTGCCTTCTTTCTTACCAAAAACTCAAACACACATTGAAATCTAGCTCTACCTCACATGTCAAAAAGCTCACTCTCCATAATTTTCTATCCTTTATTTCATTCTGTTGATGTATGTTTCTGCACATCTGATGTTGTTTTGCACATTGCCTGTTGTTGTTTTTGCACACTGCCTGTTGTCTCTGTCTTTCTTTTATTATACAATTATATTGTTGTTTTTTTGTACTACTTATCATCTGAGAGCTAGCTAAATAGCATTTTGTTATACCATATACCTATATATGAGTATAATGACAATAAACTTGAACTTGAACTTAAATTGTGTATATATGTGTGTTTTGAGCAGTATTCAGCACTATAGCCTCTGAATGATAGCTCTTAACAGCTTCTTTTGGGAAAGAAATTAATATTACTGTATGTATTTAATGTATTTTGTCTTGTTTTGTATAAGTACTGTAAGTGTCTCATTTGGGACTGGCAAAAGTGAAACATGTTTCTATCTGATAAATTTACATATTGAACATTTCTTTTACAAATTACACAAGTTCTTGCTGAAGGGGCTTGAAATGCTTAGTAATATAAAACTAGGCTCTCACTGAACAAAATGAAACCCATCAGACTGAAGTTATTGAATGGAAGGCTGAAGTCCAGCTATGCAATGCCTTCCATGTTGACATAGTTCCTGCATAACATTCAGACGACCATAAAATAATGAGCTCATTAGCAACAGAATATCCCCATCTAAAGATATGCCTTCAGGGTTTATGTCAAGGACATTTTATTGATAGTGCTCATTTAAATGGCTTGAGTTAAGCAACTGAAGTACCATGAAATATTGTTTAGAGAGCCCCAGGGGGGAGACAGCTGTCAACCTCAAGATATTCCTTCGTAGCACAACACGCTCTGAAATATAGGCATAGACACACCCGTCAATCTACACAACACTTACACATTTACTGTACATGTCATGAAAATACAAAACAAGAATGAAAAATGAAAGCAAACATTATTTACCAGGAATACATGGCATAAAGCAGCTGAAACATCGCATGTACAGTCCTATACTTCATTATCAATGTATTTTATATTTTACTGTGTATTAATAAAATAATTCTAACCATATTATATTCATGCAACCGATGTAAAGTAACTGTTAGTAAATGAGCTATGTGACAGTAGCTTTTGAAAACCAAACCCAACATCAATTCATGCAATATCTTTCTCCATGTGAGAAATAACGTCAGCAGAACTATGAAGCATTGCTTCCAATACTAAGTGAGAGAATCACTATGTTCCAGTGATTAGGATTTTGTTACTTCACAGAGAAGATTAGCAACCTCAACTCTGCACTTCATTTCACAACTTTAGATATGATTCAGTCGATTGACTTATTTTACAACAATATTCATTTTAAACTGTTTCAAAGTTCTTCAAAATTCAGTACAGCAAGTACAGTCACTTCCAATATTATTTGCACCCTTGATAAAGATGAGCAAAAAGGGCTGTATAAAATAAACAACCAGGTTATGAGATATATTGTAACTTTCCATGTGGAATTTATTTTACTTTATTAATGATTCAGGGGAATAATTTTGGGGACATCAAAATTAGTGTCAGCTCCAAGTCTGCTTCTGAAGCCAAGGCTCTGAATTTCAATAATTTGATTTGAGAAATCAGGAATCAGGAATTATGTACAAGCATAATTTATCACCTGGTTACGAATGGAAACCCAGGTATGGCACCTCAGTAGGTTCATGATGCAGCGCTGCCTTTCATTTATGACAAGCAGCAGGGACATGTTGGTTGAGTTGAAGAACACTGATTTTTGACTCAGGGTCAAAATCAGTGATGATGAGGAATCGGAAAGGTGAATTTAAGATATTTCATGAAGACAACATTGCTAAATGGTTTTGCAAGACAAAAGGCATTCTATTAAAAAACTGAAGCCATTCCATTGCTATTAGGAACAGTTGCTATAGAAACAAGAAATTTTAAAGATTAATAATGCAAACGCAATATGTAAAAGCAAAAGCCCATTCATGGAAAAAGAATACAATATTGTATTGGCATAGATTTGTACTGTGGAATGAATAATTAACTTATCTGTTCAAATATTCTCACAAAACTCACCAAATCACAGTAACAGGAAAATAGACAGTCAAAACAAGCCAGGACTTGAAAGGTAACCTGAAGACAATAACAACAGAGCTCCAGTAATGACCTTGACTCACAGCTTTTTTCTAAATTTAAATATTATGTCAGTATTTTCAAATCATATGTAAATAAAAAGCCTTGAACGTGTTTCTTCTGTGAAATCAACAAATAATGATAAGCTTGTTACTGTATAAGTACTAGGAACAGACCTTTTTTCACAGTAAAGAGAGTAACAAGAAAAATGACCAAATTGACACTAACTTGAAGATTTCATATGTGACTCTTCACAACCAAACTAAGACTTCCAAATTAATCTTGTCAGGATAAAAAATCACTGCAGTTATGAAATGATTTGAAGACATTCACGCTGAGCACATTCAGGTATCTAATGATTTATTGTAATTTATTTTGGTATGTAGTAATTGCTGCTCTAAAGGAATTAGTTATATGCAGATCAGATCACTCTTTTCCAGATAATATCACTGATGAGTAAGGTACACCAGCATGTTAATGCTTACAGCAACTTCCAAAAAGAATCTGCAGTTGGCACCAAGCCCTAGTATCTGCACAGCTGTTAGAGCATGTCAGGTGTCAAACAGTCCTTCTTACAAGCACTCACATTCAACATCTCTGTAAATCAAAACACATTATTCAAGTACGCATCCCCTTGTACCGCTAATAACCGACTACAATGCAAGAGACAAGTGTGAACACTGCTGCCCTTCAGCAAATACTGCAAAGATGTCTCTCTAATGAAACAGTCACTGTCGTTTCATTGCAGAGACATCAGCATGCAGTGGAGTAATAATACTCATTTTAATAATCATAATCATATTAGTGTGATACAGCTGCAAGCAAAATGATGGAACACTACTAGGTTTTAAGAAAAACCAGAGAAACACACAGAACACCCAGGGTAGACATTCTATTCAGTGCTGGTGATTCTAACTGCACCATCCACTGCAGTGAGAGGCAAAAAAATCCCCAACAAAAACACATTATGACAACACAGCTCAGTTTGGCAACAGCAGATACTGTATTCTCGCCCTCTGCTCCACACATTCCAACAGGCACACTCAAACAGGATTCCCAAAAGCACGTCGCAAGATCCATCCTTTAAGAACAAAAACACATCATGTTGCCGCAGACAGCTCCCTGAGATAATACAGCGTCCTGGGAATTGTACTTACAGCCCGTTAGTTCATATTCTCAAAGAGCTGGAATTTCCCTCACACCACTGCTGCTCCTAGGTCCGTTGTTAGAGGAGGGTTGCCCGGTTGCTCTTCCAGTCTAATTCCACTTCTGCCACATACAGACACAAAAAAATTACCAGTACAGTCCTCTGCAGTAGTGGAGCTCTAACCGACTTCTGCCTCTCTGTTGCTCGCTCACTTGCTCGCTCTCCAAGGTCAGGAGAAGGATCTGGCTTGAATTCTGTGGCTCCTCCCACACAACATGCTAGTGCTGGCTCCAGCAGGCCATTTCTCTTTCTCCCCCTTCTCTCTGAGCTGGATAACATCAGAGTAATTACCATCATAAGCCAGATTAACCCTCTAACTGCTGAGCCCAAGAACAGACGGATTAATTCAGCAGACACACAGGGATCGACCAAGCTTAACCCTGAGGTTGCACAAAATGAAAGGAAGCTCTTTGCAAATGATACCAAAAGAACAGGATATTTCAATGATTTAGGGCATTTTCTCTTTTTCACCAGAAAACGACAGTATGATTGAAGTGCGGTGAGGATCACTTGAGAGTGCTACAGCAGGAGATCTGGGAACAAGCTTGGAGAAAATGATCACCTATTGCCTCCAGGAAAAAAAATATAATGCCAAGAAGTGAGACATGTCCCTGTTACCAAAATCAAAGCCATTCACTACATCTCTGGAGTCTGTGAATCACAAACTAGTATAATGTAGGACCGACGCATTATAAAAAAAAGACAATTGTCCAAACAAATTCTTTCCACAAAACACCACAATTTATGAACAGGTTTGAGAACAGTCAACAGCTAACACGTCAAGCAAAACAGCCACGGAAAAAGCTTTGAATGGCCGAGGTTCATTAAAATGACTCAATGCAGCTCTTCAAATGGGAAGTGAACAGAGTGTGCAGCCCAACCCCCACTTAGTCTCAAATTCACTGTCAGTAAAGAAGGCTCACCCCATGCCCCGTGTTAACACCCCTTACTGTACAGGGATGTTGGACTGCAGCTGCACAAATCACTGACCTTAACAGGAAATCTAATCCCCCCATTACTGGGCATAAACAAGACAGCTATAAACAAGACAGGACTTCTTGGTAACAAGGGTGAACAGTCTGCCATAAAGTCTGCCTAATCTACACTAATTAACACAGTGGTTTAGAATTATGACACATTTACAAATTGTAAAACACAGATATCAAACAATAGACACAGAACGTGACCAAAATTAAAAACAATGTAATCATGATTGTTTTTAATATGGAAAACTCAGAACACTGTCAAAATAAAAACATTAGAAAGTTAGTATCAGGCCTGACCTCCCTGAGTATTAAAACACAATCCTCGCACTGTTGACACACACACCTGATCAGCTTCTGAAAAGGCTGCTGTGGGATGTTCCACTTCTCCTCCTGTGCTGCTAGCTGGCAAAGACTGGCCAGTTAAGGCATCATCTCCAATTGATGATATTAGAAAGTCACTCATATAAATGTTCTATTGGACTAACAGAAGGAGATTTTACTTAGACTTTTTGTAACAGCTGAAAGTTTCAAGATACCTATAAAGGTTACTTCAAATATGCTACTTTATTGAGTGCATTGAAACAATAAGATTGTAATAAGCACATGACAGGATCAGTAAAGACTTAGTTGAATTCAGTTGGAATTAAAAACCAGAAGCACAGGGTTTCCAAAGTAAGACAAGGAAAGTCTGTCATTTTAAATGCCTTTATGCCTTTTGCATAATACGGAAAAGATACAGGGGGAATATTTGAATTTGTTTACCTAGTGTTAACATAAACCCACCCATTAACAGTACTGTTTTAGTTTAGTTCTAATTATTGTTTACATAACTTTCCATCAGTAAACTCACACTCACTGTCACATTTTAATGGATGAGTAACACATTCGCAATTTTCCAGTCCATGGGTATTACCCTGTCTTGACCAGCTGTTGTAAGTGTTGTGTCAATGGCCCATGAAAAGAATCGCTTGTTTCCTTGAGTGCAATTGGTAGAATAATATCAGGCCCTGGAGATTTGTTCATCTTAAGTGTTTCTAGTACCCAAAACACTTCAGCCCCACCTATTGTAAGACTATTGAATATAGAATTTTTCTCCTTCTGCTGCCTCGGTTACATTACTGATTTCTTCACTGACGAACACATAAAAGAAATACTTATTACATCAGCCATTTCCCTTTCATTACTAAACAATTCTCATTATTATCCTGGATATGTTTTACTTTATTTGCTGTTGTTTTGTTGTTGCAATTCTGAATTCCTTTCTGTCTCTCACTTGGCTTTATTTATATCCTTTATACCCCTGCTTGCAATTCATTATATATATATATTTTTTTTTTAAAGGCACTAAAGTTTTCCTGAATAATTTCCTGAAACCATCTTGTACTACACAATATTTAACAACCAATATGAATATATTTATTTTTGCAATTACCAGATCAATGGCTGATTACCTGGAATGTTCACATATTTTCTGAATTTTGTCCTGAATAAATCCTACGCTGACAGCCCCACCAGTGCCTGGTGACATTCTGTGCCCTACTTTCTCTGTAGTAAATGGCTTGTACCTTCTGCTTCACTTGTCAGCAGCAAACGTGCAGCGGAAGAGGCAACAAGGGAGTCTGTTTTATTGGAAGCTGAATAATTCAAAACAAAAAATGGACTGAAGTAGGAGCCATGAAACTCAACTTGTGTTCTTAGATCCTTAATTAATTTTAAAGATGATGCAGCTTTGTGGTTTACCTGTCAATACGTTTCAGGATGTTGTATGTTCTCCCCGTGTTTGTATGGGTTTCCTCCCACACTCCAAAGACATACTTTTTTTTTCTAACATCACTTTATTAACCCTGTACAATGTGTTGCATTAGGAATGATCTTTTCACATACCCCAGCTTGCTCTCCATGAGACACACAGACAGGGAGAGAGCCTGGGGTCAGAGCACAGGGTCAGCCATTGTACAGCACCCCTGGAGCAGTTGGGGTTAAGGGCCTTGCTCAGGAGCCCAACAGAGTAGGACTCTTCCAGCTGCAGGATTTGAACCAGCAACCTTCTAGCCATAGGTGCAGATCCTTAGCCACAGAGCCAGGTTAAACTGCTTGAGAGAAAACCGACCCTGGTGCGAGTGTGTGCATGTCAGTGTCTGTCCTATGATGGACTGGCACCCCATCCAGGTGTTTCCTGTTTTGTGTAGCGGAGCTGGCTGTAGCACTGTGATGTCACCGCCCTCCCTGCGCATAACAGGGGACTCAGCCACCTGGGCTGGGGGAGGTCTACTTTAGCTCAGCCGGCTGGTTCTCTGTTGCGTGACGCCAGAGCCCCGGATTCGCGCCCAGGTAGTGAGGGACGAACCGGCAAGGTGGAGCGACGAGGGCACGGGCACGAGCCCGCGCAGAACCACGACGGTCACATTTGCACCAGATGCTTGATGGGATATTCTCTGGCTCCCCTGTTACCCTGAACTGGATGAAGCATTTAGAAAGTGGATGGAAGGATAGAACACAGGAATAAAATCCCTTGCATAAATGATTCAAAACTAAAGTGATTCAGAGCCTTTAACAAGTCATTGATGTATGAAACACTTTTAAAACCTGACCTAAGATGAAGTCATTTTAATTATTTGAAAAAAGAGTCATTTCTAAACAGAAATCATTAGAGTCCAGACACGCTGGACTCTGGACGCACAAATAGAAACATCTTTATTCTCAGTTGTGACCAGTACGTCTATTCTATCATACTCAAGTGGTCATTTGCAAGGTAAAGTCACAAACAGATAATTCAAAATCTCACTCAAATTTAGAGCCTGTGTTATTCGACACCCATCTTGATAATGTTAGTCTTTTTCTTGTATTTTTGAAAACATTGCTTTGGATTATCATGAATGTGTATTTCTAACATTTTCTTTAAAATTTATTTCGTAACGACAGCTTGCAATGATATATTTTGCAGTTGGAGAGCTATCAAATTTCACTTACTTCCTCCTACGCAGCGTGGCCCTGTACAGCGTGAGTTTAACTTCTGTCTTCAGATGGGGTGGAATCTTATTCACGCACAGCAGGGAGCAGATTGTACCTGATGATGGGATTAGTGCCTGTCCTCTGGATGGATATAAGCTGGAAGGAAACAAGTAGAAACCTTTTCCTTTTTCCATTTCAGATGATGGCACTCTTTTTTTATGGGGTTCTGAAAACAGAGTCTGCAGATGTGTACTTTCAACTGGGTTACTTAACAGCAAGGCCCCTTAGACAGGATACTCAAGTAAGAACAAGGCCTGTTAATACCCAATGCATTCTTACAACACTTGACAAAACACAACTCCTCCCCCACCTTATAAATGACCCCCACCAGGCCTGACCCCTACAGACAATCCTTAATCTCCACAGGCTCCCATCCAATTCTATCTGCAAGTTAATACTACTGATCTAAGATAAGAAGAAGAGACTTGATACACTGGAGGGAACTTTTAACTGCAGGGAAACAAAGACTTCTGCTACTCAGCAATTACAGTATTTTTATTGTATACACACATGATTTGGGATCACACGTTATGTCTCTCATGAACCCACAAATTGGGAAAGATTCCCGTAGACTGACATTTAATCAACTCACCTACCCATCTTTTGATGAAGCCATTCATCTCTTGACACACAACTACAACCCCAGAGCCACTTACAGGAGGTTCAAGCTGACTGGATGAATGACACATCCCTCAATGACATCATCTCACGGTGCGACAGGGAGCGCTACAGGAGGTCATTCTTGCCTTCTGCCATAAGACTGTACAACGCATCCACCTTGCGTCTTGGCAGAGGCAACATCGACAGTGACTTGTTTCTGGACTAAACGCATCTACACATCTACTGCTACATCTGTTCTCTTTCTTTTTCTTTTTCCCGTTTACAACCATTTTTTTGTGCAATATATGCCAGGGACCTGTGCAATACATTTATATTTATATCTATGTTACATCTATATTTATATTCATATGTGTGATACGATTTTCTGTGTACTGTTCTGTTCTAGTTTGTTCTGTGTGTCCAGACTGAGAGTAACTCTTGTATTGTATTGTATGTATTGTACTATTATTATAGAATTTGTTACACTGTGGCTGTGTTGTGTGTGTTAAGCTGCTGTTGCACTGCAATTTCCCTCAAGGGATCAATAAAGAATCTATCTATCTTTAGCCCGCAAGCACCTGGGAAATCGCAG